TTCCTTGTGCAAATAATGTTCCTACACTGGTCAATTGTTGCATTTTTTTTTCTATTTTTGGCTTTTTATGTGACATTGACCAGTTGTACATAATAGATCACTCTGGTAAATGATATAACTTGATGCCAAGTTTAACGTTATTCAGTAACATTTATTCTTATTCAAGATGTAATGGAGCTTTTGTGTCAGTAGCACATTCTGAAAGAGTTGGCCAACCTGAACTCCAGTTTGAGAGATTACAAAGGCCTCATAAAGCAAGGAATTAAAAGAAAAAGAAAAAAGAAAAAACAAAACAAAACAAAAAAATGCTTCATTTCACTCCAGGGTTTGTGGGTTTAGGGAAGACGTAGATAACCCAGTGTAGAAATACTTAAGAATCAATCTGAATTGAGATGGAATCTCACAGTTTTTTGCCTGTTACATATTTCATCCTTTTAGCCTTGTCTAAGAATTGGTTTTGATAGCCTTAAAGGTAGGACTTCAGTGTAGATTTGTTGCCATGAATTAAAACTTTATTGTTGAATCAGTCATACATCATCTGGTTTTCTTCAGTGACATGTATACTGCATTTTTTCTATTCTATTTGTAAAAAAAAAAGTCATCAAAGAAAAAAAAATCAAAAGAATGTGAATCTTCATGGATAAGCCAAAATATTTTGAGCATTCGTGAGCATGAGGTTCCTGGTGTACTTGATGATGCACACTGATTTAGGTCTTCCATGCGGCCACTCTAAATACACTTGGAACAGTTATGTATAGTCTTGACATGTTATAGCATTGAGAATTTCACTTTTTCATAACGTCAAAAGTGAGACAAAGGGTCACTTATGACTTTTAATTTATAGTTTCCACCTCATTATAACAAAAAATAAATATAATAAGTCAGTCATATGTATGTGTATATATAGAGAGACATATTTAAGGTATTTAATTTTTTTTATGCATTTCTCATCTGTGTCACAAAGTGTCTAACAACCACCTGTTGGTGTTGGTACATAACATAAAATAGTACTGGAAAAGGCAGTGTAATTATAATGAAAAAAAAAGAATAAAAATGACCATAAGCTTTAAAAAGTTTGTTGTTAGGTCAGAGATGTCTGTAAATATATTGCTCACAATCATGTTAGCTTTTTATTTTCCTCTTCCTACTTTCAGTGTCACTGACTCATATTTTCTGTCTCTGTCTTTCTCTTAGTATCTCACGCACACGCACGCGCGCGTGCGCACGCGCACACACGCACACACACACACACACACACACACACACACACACACACACACGATACAGATAGGTGTACATATAGTATAGATAAATATACTGTATACTCATTAGAAATTTTTTCTAGATAGATCTCTTGAGAAATATAAGACAGAGAGTGATCTGAAGATAATATTAATGTAAAGTCTCGTTTACATTCATTTGAAAAATGATAATCAATTGAAGAGTAATTATGTATTACATACATCTGCTATAAAAAAATGGTCACCATTTAAAAATATGCCATTTCACTGATTAGGTTTTTATTACTGCTCTTGTAATATACTTGAGCAACATCGCCAACTACAAACAATAAGGCTTATCCAATAGGTCATATTACAAAAGAAAATTGAATATTAAAGCTACTGGTACCTATTACAAGCATTTGCTCCTAAAATTTTCTGTTGTCTCTTTTTTCCTCAAATGAAGTAGGTCATGCATAGTTGCCATTTATGTCTAATATTTTAATGTTCGTTATATTTACTCCCCCTTTTTTACCCTTTTCACTGCCATACCCCAATCCGGTGCGCGATGTTGTCGTGAGGAGCCTTAGGAAACAAGGACTAGGACCCAATGCTAGGGATCTCCCTTACTGCCCTCGCCTCGACTAATTTTGCACGGTCTTTTTCACCTGCTGTTTCTGTTCCTTCTCCAACCCTTTTTACTATCCATTTCCTAAGGTGTGAAAGCCGTGCCGAAAGGATGAAAGGCTGACTTTGTGCCAGTCCTGAACGGCCTGAGGGAGCCATGGGCACGGTATTCCCCTGTTTTAGTTGTTTAGTCTTTACCCCTCAAGGGTACCCTGAGGGTTGGACTGTTTCTTTCCCCAACATACTCTAGGCTTACCACAGCCAATAATGAAGACGTTATACCCTTATTAGGGGCAATGAAGCTTGCCCCTTCATCAAATAGCCCCACCAATTTAAACTCTCCCGGTTCCCGACCCCAGGCTCTCCTTTGACCACGACTGAACACTGCAACTACTACCCATTCCTCAATGCCTACTGGTACATTATCCACCCAAGTCAAGACTCAATCTCCATGAGGCATTCCTACTCTCCCAACTTCTTCAACTTCATTACCTCTACCTGCACAACCTTCATCAATCACCCCATCCCCCTGTACTACTACTTTACAGCCTTATTGTCCACCTTTCCTAATACTACCTCCAACAATACTCCCTCATCCACACATCCCCGTCCTTCTACCACCCACAATCCTACCAATATCTAAAATAATCTCTTTAGGCCAGCCAAATGGGACCCCCTACAGCTCCTTACTCAGGCAACACTCTTCTCTTTCAACAATGTCTCCAAAAACAAGTTGGCAGTCTCTTTCCGTAGCCGACCCGATCGTTGTCTCGTTACAGAAACATCCGAAACCCAAGCTATATCATTATCAACTCTAACTGATCTCTCTGGCAACCCCATTCCTGCAGAACCTCATCCAATCCTCAATACCTGTACTAGAACTGTCTCTGTCTCCCCAGCAAACTACCCTATCGATACCAAAGATTGGTCAAATTGTGGAGAAGACTTACGCGCCTGTCTCACGGACTATGATGTAACATCAGTACAATGCTACTCCATTCCTCCTAAAGGTCATCGTAAGAACCTCACCAACATTGCCAATATTACTTTCCGTAGACATGACCTTCCCTTCATAACTACATTCGTGGACAATCCCTCCCTGTCCGACCATATCAACCTCCCCCCGTCAATGTCAAACCTTGGCTTTTAAGGCATCATGCCAAACACCCGTTTCACAGACCGATGCCCGCTATATGCCCACCATGGTCATAACCGATCAAACTGCTCTGCACAGTCACGTACATGTGCTAACTGCAGCGGCCCCCATAATGTATTTTATAGGGGCTACCCCATCTACAAGTTTGAGTCTGAGGTGACAACTCTCAGATACAGGGTCTCACTCTGCGTGAAGCCAGACAGGAAGCACGTCGACGAGGTTTCTCTCTTACTCCCTAATCCAGTAATGTCGCTCGCTCTGCCCCTCCCCTCCCTCCCAAGATGTTTCTACACCCTCCCTTATACCTAGCCCTCCTAAATCTTACCTCCCCACTTCTACCTCCTACCTTCCCCAGGCAAATTCTTTTGCCATTCTAAATCCAGACACTCCAATCTATACTTCAGCCCCATCACCGCCCCCCTCTCCCTCCCCGCAGCAGACAGACTAAACGTTTCACCCCTTCTCCTACCACACACTCACCTCCACCTATCTTTGCCTCTACTCCTCAGACAACAGTCTCCTTCCCCCTTCATAAGAAAACCTTTGTCTCACAAAATTCTCCAACTCCTTTACAGAAACTTGAAGATATTCAAAACTATCCGTTCGAGTCCCAACATGCTACCGAAAACCTTCATCCACCCTCAAATTCCACAACTCCCGCTCCCTCCACACTCAAAGTGACTGCCAATATCCATCCTCCTCCTACTCATATTCCCCTTACATCCCTTCCTCCTACTCCCTCCCAACACAGCCCATCCCCTCAGCTCCAACTACACCTACATTAACCCTCCCTCCATCCCCTCTATATACCTTCCACTCCCTCCTGGATACACACATGAATCCCGTATGTCACAACTATGACCTTCCCCAGATCCTCCACCTCCTGACACTACACCCCCCTTTTAATTCCTTATCTCACCCCTAGCTCCTTCCCCTTCAAATTCGCCAACACGCACTGTAACCGTTATCACTTACAGAACAAATACGTTATAGCTCTCCTTAGGTAGGGGGATCTAATCCTCTTACCTAACCCCACCGTTACCCATTCACTCATTAATTCCATTACCCATCTTTAACCTTTTCAATATTACTCGAGATCAGGGGTCGGCAACCTTTTGAACATTGTGTGCCAGTTTATAATTAAAGCCATCTTATTAATAACCTTACATGCCAGTTTTTTCAGCACTGTATACCCAAATGTATTTTCCTGCACATGCAAAACATAAATGTAATATTTTGTAGCATTAAGTATTCTTTGTAATAAGAAATGTGTATATTTTATAATTTTAGATTTATACTCACCATATTAATATCAGGACACAATGAGCTTCAAACAACCCTCAGAGTGATCCGTTGTAAGCCTGCTGCGATGAGGGCTAAGGGTATGCTGCATGTGTGAAAACATCTGGCTCGCATTGGTATTTAGATTCTAATCCTGATTGTAGTGTCAAGGCTTCTTTCTTAATGCAACTGAATTTATCAGACAGTGGGAACTTAATATGGAAGATGCATGGCCATTCGTAGTAGATTCTAATATTGCTCGATTTTAAAATTTAGGTGACCATAATATTAAGACTCCCTCTCTCTCTTTACACCTCTAAATCACATAGCGTGCCATAGACAAGCGCTCTGCGTGCCAAGCCTGGCACTCATGCCAAGGTTGCCGACCTCTGCTCTAGATAGTTGATACATCGCAACTCCTAACTCAACCACCCTTCACTACCCTTTGCTGTATCTTCCTACAGTGCTACATGACCTTAGATGTCTAGCACATATATTTTGCTTTTAACTATTAACCATTCACTACCATACTATCTTATAATGTTGTGTGACCATTGAATCTAACACGTTTTGTGGCGACCCAATGAATATTCGTAAATATATGCATTTTCACAGAAAGAGATGCATATCTGTCTATCTGCCAGATGTATTTACATTTATCTATCAATCTATTTGGCAGATGTGCATGTCTAGTCTGATAGATATGCATTCATTTCTGTGTATATGCATGTCCATATAATGATATTCATTGGGTCGCGCCTTGCACCATTTTAACAACCAGACCCTTTATCATAGCGCTATATAACCTTTGATATCTCGCACATTTATTTGTTTAAACTATTAACCGCCAACCATTAAGGTCGGTTACGTTATTTTCACGGTGCCATCTCTTGGCAGTAAATGAAAATGGATATAAGAACTTGGGACAACTATAGCGGCAGTGAGACAACTTGATACAACTTTTTGCATGAAATTTAATGGCCAAATGATAGCAGTGTTACATGTTTGACATAGGAAGCTTTGTTTAAGAGATTATTGTGAGTTGTCTTTATTCCTCGCATTCATGTATATCACACAAAACACCTACATTTTGGCATTTATAGAAGTTCACCAGCTAACATCGAGTTTATCAAATGACAAATTAATTCTTATAATATTTGTAACAAAGGCTCACCAGTTGACACCGAGTTCACACGAAAATAAAAATAATGACACCAACCATATGAACAAATAACATTTCTCTTCCACTTCATGTACTTAGAATCGAACAGACTTCGAAGTCGCTGCCACCACACACTCGACAACGAATACGAACGCGGCCGCACACAGCCCCAGGAGCAACAGCATGAGCGGCCCTTGCATGTGCACTATGGTGAGGGCCTTCGCTCGTCCACTGCCACTGCTATCTGTTTCTTCCTCTTCTCCATTCCCTTCTTCCTGTTTCTTGGCTTGTTCCTCTCTTTGCTTCCTGCTGCTCTCTCGCCTGGCTTCGTTGAGGAGGTTGTGGCTCCATTGCTCGTAAAGTCCGGCCTGTTTGGGGTTATGAAAAAGGCGATGTGTTTGTATGGCGGTGCAGATAGATGGAACAGATGTGTAGCTGAACTAGAAGTTGGATTTGAGTTTATCTGTGTCCGTCTGCCTCTAATATCTGTCTGTCTTTTTCCCTTCTTCCCTCTCTCTCTCCCTTCCTCCTCTTTTTCGCCCCTCTCCCTCCCCCTCTGTCCCTCTCTCCCTTCCTCCCTCTTTTCTTCCATTTCTCTCTCTCTCCCTCCTTACATCTCCCTCTCTCCCTTCCTCCTTTTCTTCCCTTTCTCTCTCTCTCTCCCTCCTTACATCTCCCTCTCTCCCTTCCTCTCTTTTCTTCCCTTTCTCTCTCTCTCTCCCTCCTTACATCTCCCTCTCTCCCTTCCTCCCTCTTTTCTTCCCTTTCTCTCTCTCTCTCCCTCCTTACATCTCCCTCTCTCCCTTCCTCTCCTGAAGAGGATCGAAACCTACCTCTATAACCGCCATGATGCACCGGTCCACCTGCGTCCGATAGGGGGCGTCGTGCGGGAGAGGCCAAGCAGACTGTCCGGGAATGATACTGTCCCTTCCTATGTACAGTTTGGTGGTTCCGTCGGCGTTGGAGAACTTCTGAGCGATGTGAAGTAGCTGGTAGCGCCTCGTGTCCAGGTGGGCCTGACTGGTAGGGATGGGTGGTGTGGGTTGGTGGATGGGAGAGCGAAGTGTTAGTGGGTATGAGAAAAGGAGATGAGCGGTAGAAGAGGGTGTTATTTATATGTGAAAAGAGTTTTCCCGTAAGAGAAATTTATTTGTGTACACACACACATAACTAACTAAATATATATGTATGTATATGTGTGTGTGTGTGTGTGTGTGTGTGTGTGTGTGTGTGTGTGTGTGTGTGTGTGTGTGTGTGTGTGTGTTGTGTGTGTGTGTGTGTGTGTGTGTGTATCGGAAAGGCATTTTACTATATCTGGCGATATACAAAGGCCACTCAGGTCCTCAAAGTAAAAGTACACATTGAAGACAGGCTGAGGGAGTATGACTGGGACTTTTTTAGGCTGAAGATCCATAAAGCTTTAGAATGAATGATATAGTGCAGTGTATAGATAATGTAGATAAGATTAGCAGTGATCATTCAGTAAATTAGCGGCAGTGGTCAAGCCGACAGTATATAATGCTGAATTATGCATTGCTTAACAACCATGCCACGTTTATTTCTCTATTACAACATTCGGTACACATTTTTTGTATTGACATTTCGTAGTGTTATATTGCCAAACCATATACACACGTAAATGTCAGGTAAGCCAAACCGTATAATGCAGGCTAATGTACAGTTCGTTAAGTGGTCATCCATAATTTTCCTTATTATTACGAGCGTACAAACTGAACGCGCCAGGGAGGGGGGGGTATCTATATTCGTTTAAAGAAAACGAATATAGATAAAGTTGAACCACGTACATCATAAATGGACGAATATTTGATTACAGTTACAGTGCGTAAGGCCAGAGCCTGATGATATAGGATTCCCTGTGTTACTTTCTTGTTTATTGCATTGTATAAAATAATATACAATAAGTGCATTATTAATGTAACAGCATTTAAGAACATAAAATGTACCTGACTTGATTTATCTAAAACGTATACAACTATTCATACTGAGTGTGTTTTAGTCACTCTATGGGACAGTGGCTCTATTTTTGGTGATGTCCAGCTGGAAAACCCAGCTGAAGTGACATCGGATGAAATTTCCGCCGCCGGTTCATACCAGGATGGTTTAAGCAATTTTTATATCTGATGTATTCAAACATGGAAAAATATCTCAACATTGCCTTATACACTTTTCATTTGAATTAAAGCATCTGTAGTTATAAAAAACAAAAACAAATACAGCATGCGGAAAAAAATCCGTAGGCCCTTTGTATTGTCCTGTCACCGATTTCAATACAGTGAAAGCAATATAACAGGACAGGGTATTATTTTGAATTCATATAATTTTCTTAGGATCACAAAATAAGAACACAGAGATATCTTGATACATGATCAATTTTCGTACACTAACGTACACTTTTAGGGGGGGGGGAAGGGGTTGTTCAAAACTCTGCACTTTGTAGACGTGATAATGACGAAAATGAAGGATGACCTCTAAAACAGTCATCAAAATAAATAACCAACCAAACAAGTAAATGGCACAAACATCCTTGAAATCAAAATTTCGTATGTAAAAAAACTACGTAAAGAGTGGTAGTTTATAAAATTCGGAGCAAATTCATCATCATTATTATTATCCTCATCATCCCTATTACATTCAGCATCGCTAACATTCTCATCATCATAACCTTTACCAATATCATGACTCCCTGATCCATAAAAAAGAAAATAACTCAACCTACTTCGCCAAAATAGCCTGTCTTTGTCCCTCCTCCACAGACGACACGATATGCATGAGTTCCGAAAGTCTCTTGAAAACGGGCGAGTCCGATTTCCCGAAAAATGACTTGAATTCGGCGCCGTAGGAGGGCATCGTGATCCTAAAGGGTGAGAGGGGAGTAGGGTGCTTAGGGTGCTGGGAAGGTGAGGGTAAGGAAATACGGTTTTGAGGAAAGGATGGGTAAATGGGGTTTGGGGAAAAGGATGGAAGGGATGGGTAAGTGGGGTTTGGGTGAAAAGAAGGGATGAGGAATGAAATGGGGATGAGGGGGAAAGGGGAAAAAATGGCGGTGGGGGATCAAATCAAATATTTGGAATTTAGGGTAGAGAATTGGGTGAAGACGAAGTTTAAGGAAAGGTTTAAGGGATCGGTAAATGAGACTAGGTAAAGGTAAACATCTGGATGAATCGATTTAGGTAAATAATGATTAGGAAAAGGTAAAATTTGGATGAGTTGGGATTATGGAAAAGTAAAGATATACTGAAATCTGAGAATCGTAATGTTCGGCCAAATTGAGATTATTGAAAGGCTTTTAAAGCAGGTAAACTATATTTAAGCAAAAGGAAAGTTCAGGAACGTCGTGCTCAGGGAAAAAAGTTGATGACCAGTTAGGATTAAGGAAAGGTTAAATGCAAAGGTTTAGGTAAGTGGAGTTGGTAGGTCAAGATACTGACAAGGAATCACATATAATTCACAAAGATTAGATATATTTTTTTTATAGAGTCAGTATGATTTATTCTATTTCCAACGTTTACTGAGTATTTTATACTACTATCAGGAATCTTGCTTTTATAGACTAATAATCTTGGCATACAGTATATATCTATTTACTGATATATATTGTCATACAATATCTCTATATCTGTATACTGGTATATACTGACCTACAATATATATATATATATATATATATATATATATATATATATATATATTTAATGACTAAGTCTTCCATCCAGTCTTCATTCAACTTCCCCGACGCCATCACTCACCTGTCGGCCACGAGGACCAGCTGGGCGAGCGTCTCCGGCCTGGAAGGGTACACAGGCAGGGTGAGAGACGCCGTGAGATTGCCCCTGTAAGCTGTGCCAACCACGAGGGAGAACACCAGCCACGCCCCTACCAGCACACGCGCCCTGACGCTGCTGTAGAAGACCCTCGAGAGGTTTTGTCCCAGGAACAGACCGAAGACCTCCTGCAGTGCCTTGCCCAGGGTGAGGGGGCTAGTCGGCGGAGCGTGGCCCGTCGCGTCCCGGCTCCTCATCGCTCGCAGGATCTGGTGGGGGGAGGCGGGGCTGAGGGAGGTCCTTCGGCTGGAGTTTCCTACTTGGTTTGTCTTGCTTTCTGTTGTGTTTCCTTTGGTTCATTGTTATCGTTTATTTTCTTGGGGGGGGGGGTCTTTGATGTTTTTTTCTCTTCGAATAAAAGATGACAAATGGCGGGCTTATGTCCAACAGATATACGGATACGTACTCACACACACACACACACACAAAACAGACCCAGCAGCATCACACTCCTCCGCACATACCCCATACCACACAGCCAACCCCCCACCACATACCCCATAGAAGGAGAGCGGCACCACCACCACCGTCGCCAGCACGCCCAACCACACGGCGTGCGACAGAGGGTAGTAGAGACTCTGCCACTGAGGCTGGAGGTCCGGCTTGGCCCGGGAGAAGTCGAGGGAACCGAACTCGTACACGAAGGAGAACTCGTAGCGCTCGAGGCGGGCCGGGAGGACGTTGTGGAAGATCGGGGACAGGAAGGCCACGCGCTCCACCACACGGTCGGCGACCTGCGGAGGGGCGGGGCGGAAGGAGGAGGAGGAGGAGGAGGAGGAGGAGGAGGAGGAGGAAGAAGAAGGAAGAAGAAGAAGAAGAAGAAGAAGAAGAAGAAGAAGAAGAAGAAGAAGAGAAGAAGAAGAAGGAAGGAGGAGGAGGAGGAGGAGGAGAAGATGATGAAGATAAATGGTAAAAATAATTATAATAATGATGATAGTATTATAATCATATGATAATTATGATAATGACAATGATAATTCTTATGATAAAAATAACACTATTAATAAGGAAAAGGAGAAGTTAAAGATTAAGATGAAAGTGAAGATGAAGATGGTGAAGAAAAAGAAGACGAAGATGAGGAATAAGAAGAAAGTGAAGAAGAAGAATATTAAAGTGAAGATGAAGATGCAGAAGAAAGCGAAGAAAACGGAGAAAAAAGAAGACGAACTCGAAGAAAAATAATAACAGTAACAAAACACCAAAGTCCCAATCTCTCGACCGACGACCGACCTCAGTCCACGTCTCCGTCGGCACAACCCTGAAGGTGAAGTTGAGAGCCTCCGCCGTGGCCTCGAGGAGCAGGAAGTCCGTGCCCGAGTACCTTCCCGGCGACGAGGCTGACGGCTCCTCGAGGACGGACCAGTAGGGGGGGAAGGGAAGGGCCGTGACGTTGACGGTGGCGCCGTAGAAGCTGGTCGAGGGGGGGGGGGTAGTAGGGAGGGGAGGGGGGAAGGGGGAGGGGACGAAAAGGCGAGATAGGAGGGAGGGTGGAGGGGAAGATGGAGAGAGAAGATAGGAGGGAGAGTGGAAGGGGAAGATGGAGTGAGAAGAGAGGGAGAGAAAGGAGGGAGGGGTAGATGGAGAGAGGAGAGAGGTAGAGAGAGGAGGGGAAAGATGGAGTGAGAAGAGAGAGAGAAGGGGGGGGGGAGAGGAGGGAAGATGGGTGAGAGGGGGAGAGGGGAGGGGCGGAAGAGACGAGAGGGAGGGGAGAGCGCGAGATGGGAGGAAGGGAGGGAGGGAAATATGGATAGAGAAGAGGGAAGATAGGGGAGAGGGAGAAGAACAGAGGAAGAGAGAAGAGGGATTATGGAAGGGAAAAGGAGAAAGGGAGAGAAATGACGAAGGATAAAGGGAAATATGAAAAGTGAAGGGAAGAAGGGAGGATAAGAAAGAGAAAATTAAAGAAAAAAAATCAAGTAAAACAAACAATGAATTAACGAGTAGTATTATCACATACAATCTTCAATCAAATCACAATCTATCTGGCTTCCAACAGCACCTACTTCCAAAACTTCTCAGGAAAGAGTCCATGGCCGCTTTTAATCCTCAGACCCTCAGCTGGTGTCCAGGTGGCCACACTCACCAGCTGCGGCCCAGCGGGAGAATAGGGAAGATGGCTGTACATGTCCCATCTGCAAGGGACAAGAGGTCACGAAATTTTAAGCATGTGTACTGAGAAATATCAAATTCTATTTATTTGTTTACTTTTAGCTGGCAAGTAGTGTATGCAAAATCGTCAAACAAGATAAGGTGCGAATAAACTGCATTTACTAATTATTATCATCCACTCATGAAAGACATCCTAAAAATCACGATCTGATATATATATAAGTATATCGATTTATTTATACACTGTTAGGTGACAGATTCAAATGATGTATAAACACCTGAAACAAGAACATTACATTTAATGTCATCCAATCTAAATTGACCACGTTTTGTGTTTGTTTATTTTGATTAGTAAATACATGCTCTAGAACACGATTTTGCACATAAAACTGGCATTGATATGTACTTTTCGCAAACGAGTAAACACACGAGGCCAGATTTGGTGCATGGCAATTGAAACGATAATCATCTAGAATGATTTTTTATTCTATTTTATTATTATTTTTGGTAAGTAAAGGGGCAGCAAACTTTGAAAGCACAAGGGTCCTCTGAAATAATTTGCAATGATACAATACTATGCATACTTTCCTCAGTCATCTCATCTGGGGTTCAAATGCACAATTTATTTAGACTGACAAAAAACAACAAAAACATGCCTTTACACAGCACGGAGTTAATGCCAGCTTAGTTTTAAACTAGCTTTTGCTTTAGAGGGAAAATAAACATGAAAGTTTATAAAAAGAAACGGGAAATTGACGAAAAAACACACAACAAAGGAAAAATCAAAAAGAAAAAAAGGAAGAAAAGGAAAAAGTAAAGAACTGTTACCGAAGAGAAACACGAATACCCCCCCCCCCCTAAAAAAGAAGAAGTAAAATCTAACTTTTGGAGCAGCCCCTCCATTTGAAGAACCATCACCACGGCGTTCATCATGGAGAAGACCCAACGGCTGCCAAGGAAAGCACGGAGTTCCTGCAGTGCCACGCTCGTCACCAGCAGCAGCTTCGTGGCCCACACCAACAGGCGCCCTCGGAGTGCCACGTCGGCGAAGGTCGTGAGGAAAGCAGGGTCTTCGCTCACCAACACCACACACACGTTCCAGGACATCAGGCGTTCCTGGAAGCATCCTCGGTGTTAAAAGTCAGAATGGGGGAAATAAGAAAAAAACATAATAATAAAGAAAGAAAGAAAAAAGTAAAAACAAAAGGAGTAAGAGGAGAAGAAAGAGGATGGGGTGAAAAAGAAAAAAAAAGAATAAAGAAAGAAAGAGAGAAAGGAAAAGTACATGAACCCTGGACACGAAATACGCCGAGAGCGCCAAAAACAAAACAGAAGAGCATCGCCTACCGCCCTTGGGAATCGACTCAATAAATCTGATCAAGAACAACAGATCTATCAGGCTGATTCCCATAAGGTCGAGAGGCGCATGTTAAATGGGATCAGATAAAGGCTTTGATTCTGTATCTTTGTAATCACCTTCCCTCTTTTTTTTCGGGTCCTGCAACTTCTTTCAAATTGGATTTGTCTTTGCATACCCTCCCATTGGCGCTATACGTGGTTTCAACATTTCACAAAGATAGGTATATATAGAAATATTATTTATGAATATGGATAGAAATATTGTTTATAAGTACGGATAGAAATAGTTTGTAAGTATAGCTAGAAATATTGCATAGAAATATTTTTTGTCAGTATAGATAGATTTTTTGTCAGTATAGATAGAAATACTATTTATAAATGTGGATAGAAATATTGTTTATAATAATGGATAGAAATATTGTTTGTGAGTATAATAGAGAGAAATATTGTTTTTTAGTATGGATAGAAATATTGTTTGTAAGTATAGATACAAATATTATTTGTAAGTATAGATAAAAATATTGTTTGTAAGTATAGATAGAAATACTATTAATGGATATAGATAGAAATACTATTAATGGATATAGATAGAAATTATTTGTAAATATATAGAAAATATTGTTTATAAATATAGATAGAAATATCTATAAATATAGACAGAAATATAGGAATATCACACAAAGTATAGATATAGACAAAATATATAAAGTAGATAAAACTATTATCAATGAAAATAGATAGAAATATAATCTAAAAGTATAGACAGAAATATAATTTATCATTCATGAATATAGATAGAAATACCATTTGTAAATATAGATTATTTATAGATATAGAGACATATCTTTAATACTCGTATAAATAAGCATGTTATTTCTCTTTAGGCTTTTGTAGAGGTGTCTAGCTTATACTCGAGAATATTTCCATACTGATTCATATTCCCGATTTTCGTCTTATTTTCCCCTCTAATGCGGCTCACCTTTCGAGCTTGCCTGATCACCTCTGAAAACCGATCCCGAGTGCTGTTCCCAATCCCATTTTCCGGCACTGCTTGGAAGACGCCCACTCCATAGGGCGCCGCCACTCGCCTCAAGACCTGGCGGGAAAGGAAGGAACTTGGAAGAACATTTGAGGTTTTGGTTAAGAGGGATGACAATGATAACAATGATAATAGTAATAATAGTAATGATTGTACTACTACTACTTTCTTATTTGATTTCTTGGTGTAAATGTGATCGTGACAATATATATATATATATATATATATATATATATATATGTATGTATGTATGTTGTTTGTGCATATGTATACATGTGTGTGTGTGTGTGTGTGTGTGTGTGTGTATGTGTGTGTGTGTGTGTGTGTGTGTGTGTGTGTGTGTGTGTGTGTGTGTGTGTGTGTGTGTGTGTGTGTGTGTGTGTATATATATATGTGTGTGTGTGTGTGTGTGTGTGTGTGTGTGTGTGTGTGTGTGTGTGTGTGTGTGTGTGTGTGTGTGTGTGTGTGTGTGTGTGTGTGTGTGTGTGTGTGTATGTATACAGACACACACATATATATATGAACATATACATAACAATTTTATAATTTTCATAGAGTACCTTCGCAATGGCACTTGCTGAGCTGGTGCCATCCGTAAGAAGAATGACCGAGGTCGTTGGCTGAACCACCTCTGCCAACACGGCGCTGACAACACCGCTGGCGTCCTCCAGGAGATCTCGATCGCCTACAGAAAATATTGATATTCATTAAGCGCCTTCAACGAAAATAATAAGAAAGAGATGACGTAAAAATAAACATATCTTCATCAGCAACGTTTTACTGGGTAATATTAGATTGTAACATTGTCAGACCTGCAAGACAAAAAACCTTTATTCAGTTCTCTAAGTCACATGAAAAAATGTATAGCTGTGACCAGCTTTTCCCCATTGCGTGGCTTTGTCGTATCCTTTTTCTTCTCTGTCTTTTCCTTCTTCCTTTTCTACTCCTCCTCCTCCTCATTCTTCTTTATTTGCTCTCCGGTGGATGCTCCAGACGAGGGCCGTATCTCTCCTCGGATGGTGTCCGATTCCCCTTCTTCTCCCAGTCTTGACTATTTAGAAAATTCCAACAAATAAAAAAAAAATTCACGTCAAATTTACGCCCTTTTTAACGTGTAATTTATTTATATTATTATTATATATATCTCCCTCCTTAAGGTCAGCGCCATGCATTTCGTGTGGGTATGTCGATTCGGAATTTTATAC